CCGACCGGCCCGCTCGGGGGGGGGGGGGCGATGACGGACGGCGGGTGTAGACGGACTGTTTGACGACATCTCGGACGATGGCCTGTTTGGAACGGCCAACCCGCAGAACCCGTTTCGCACTGCTGGCGGTGACAACCTCTTTGGCGATCCGTTGTTTGACGCTGGCGCACCAGGTGGGGACGCCAATGAGCCTGCGGGCCTCCGTGGGCTGAGCAACGAAGAGCTGTTCTCGTCGATCACGCCGGGTCGGACCAAGGCCCCGTCGATGGGCGGCCACGATCTTCTGGCCACAGTCTCGGCCACGGTCGGCGGCAAGTCGCAGCGGTCAAAGCGGCGCCGCAAGCGCAAGACGGACGCTCTGTTTGCGACGGCACCGGTGGCTGCCGCGGAGCCGGCCGCTGCTCCTGCTCCTGCTCCTGCTCCTGCTTCGACTCCTGCTCCTGAGCCCGAGCCCGAGCCCAAGCCTGAGCCCGAGCCCGAGCCCGAGCCCGAGCCGGCCGCCAAGACCGACGCCAAGGGCCTCACGCCGGCGCAGGCCCAGGTGAAGGAGCTTGTGAGGCGGCTAGTGACCCGCGGGACGCCAAGTGTTGCGTACGGCACGCTCAAGTCTGCGGCTGCTGACGAGGGCTTTGACAACGTGTTTGTCATTCTCAAGGCGCTCAAGAAGGCGCGTGTGGTCGACTACGCCGGCGGAATGATCACCACCGACACGGCGCGCGTGTACTTTGTGCCGTACGGCGGACGGGTGCCCAAGACAAATGGCTCGGGGTCCGGCGCTTCCGGCGTGCCGAGCCCGGGTGCTCAGCACACCGGGTCGTATCTGCGGAGCCAGGCCACGAGTCAGCCCAAGGCGACGAGTGGCAGCAATGCAGCGACGCTGTCGGCGTCGACCAAGCGCGAGCTTGCGGCGCGCGAGGCGCAACAAGAGTCTGAGCGCGACGCGCGGCTGCGGGCAGCCGAGGCCGAGCGGGAGGCGCAGGCGGCCGAGCTGCAGCGGCGGGCGCAGGCACGGCGCGAGGTTAAGCGTCCGACGATGTTTTCGCGTGCGGCAGCGTGATGAGCGGGCGCGCTGCGAATGCGAGGCCGAGGCGGTCGAACTTTTGGCGCGGGTTCTATTGGTTTTTCGTCTTTTATTTTCCAAGTTAGCTTAGTCCGAGGCGACCAAGGCGCGTGAGGCCGAAGCCGCGGCGGCGGCTGCCAAAGCGGCCAAGGCCAAGGCTGCGGCTGCCGCCGCCGCTGAAGAGGCTCGCGCTGCGGCGGTGGCCAAGGCCAAGGCCGATGCCAAGGCCCGCGAGGAGGCCGAGCGCAAGGTCGAGGCCGAGGCGCTCCGGGCCAAGCTCGCTTCGCCGGAGACGTCCGAGTACTCGGAGCGGTCGCGGACGCGGACGCGGACTCTATCAACGACATCGCGGGGCGCCGCTGGACTCCCGACGTCTGCGCCTCAAGTCTCGTCGCCGCTGGTGTCGCCGGCACCGGCAAAGGCGTCGGAAGCGGCAGCGGCGGCCGAGGAGAAGCGGCTGCTGCAGGAGATGGCGCGGCAGCAGCAGGCCGAAGAGCAGGAGCTGCGGGTGGCACGCGAGGCGCGCCGGCTGCGCGAGGCTCAGGAGCGTGTGGAGATCGAAAAGGCGGCCGAGGCACGGCGCGCTGCCGAGGTGGCGGCGGCGCTGGCAGCAGCCAAGTCGAGCGGTGTGTCTGCTTCAAGCAGCTCGGGCGCAAGCACCGAGGCTGTGGCGGCGGCGTCGGCGTCCGAGGCCTCGGGTTGGGTCGAGCTCCAGACCGAGGACGGCTTTGTGTACTACTACAACGAGGCGCTCGATCTGACGCAGCACACCAAGCCGGACGCACTCAAGACTGCAGCCGACTTTGCCCACACCGGCGAGTGGGTGTGGGTGGCTGTGGAGAAGGACGGATACGTTCCCGGCAAGGTGGTGACGCGGTCCTCGGCCGGCGTGGTGACGCATGTCGAGACCGAGGATGGGCACACGGTCAAGATTTCACCCAAGGATCGGCAGCCGCTGTACCCGCTCAACAAGGCAGACCTCAACAAGGACTCGGACGACCTTGTGCAGATGAACGCCATCGACGAGGGTATCATTCTCCATGCGCTCTCGCGGCGGTTTGCGCGCGACGTCATCTACACCAACATCGGGAGCATTCTCATTGCGGTCAACCCATACAAGTGGGTCAAGCCGTCGCCGTACGGAGACGACGTCATGGCCAAGTACGCGGCCAAGGGCACCGGCCTTGCCCCGCCGCACATCTTTGACATTGCGGACGCGGCGTACCGCGAGATGTCGGACGCGCTGTCGACCGGCGTGCCGCCAAACCAGTCGATTCTCATTTCGGGCGAGTCGGGTGCCGGCAAGACCGAGGCGACCAAGCAGGCGCTCAAGTACCTCGCGTTTGTGGCCGGCTCCGAGTCTGGGGTGGAGGCCAAGTTGCTGGTGGCCAACCCTGTGCTAGAGGCGTTTGGCAATGCTGCGACGCTACGGAACCATAACTCGTCGCGGTTTGGCAAGTGGATGGAGGTGTTCTTCTCACCGTCGCGCGCCATTTCGGGCGCGCGGTTCAACAACTACCTGCTCGAAAAGTCGCGGGTGGTTCACCAGGACGCCGGCGAGCGCAACTACCACATCTTCTACCAGCTTGCCCGCGATCCGGTCTGGGGACCGCGGTTTGGCCTGGAGAGCCCGAGTCAGTACGTGTACACGCAGACGCACACCGACATCGAGTTTGGCTCGTGGTCGGACGCGAGCCAGTTTGCCGAGCTCCTCGAGGCGATGGAGACGCTCGGCTTTGCCACGGCGACGGTGGAGGGCATTCTGCAGACGGTGGCGGCGTGCCTCCACCTCGGCAACCTCACGTTTGCCGAGGGCGAGAGCGAGGACTCGTCACGGGTCACCTCCAAGCCGGTCCTCAAGCAGTGCGCGTCGTTGCTCGGGCTGTCGGGCGGGGCGCTCGAGGCAGCGCTGGTGAACAAGACCATGATCCTTCCCAACCAGTCGCAGGTGGTCATTCCGCTCTCGCCGTCTGCAGCGGCCGACAACCGCGACGCGCTGGTCAAGTCGCTCTACGCCTCGCTCTTTGACTTTCTGGTGGTGCAGATCAACGCGGCGATCGAGGTGCCCGGGGCCGCGGCGGCGTCGTGCGCCACCATCGGAGTTCTCGACATCTTTGGCTTTGAGATTTTCGAGACCAACTCGTTTGAGCAGCTCTGCATCAACTTTGCAAACGAGAAGCTCCAGCAGCACTTTAACGCGCACACGTTCAAGCTCGAGCAAGAGCTGTACGAGTCCGAAGGCATCGCCTTTGACGAGGTCAAGTACATCGACAACCAGCCGGTGCTCGACCTGCTCGAGGCGCGGCGCGGCGGGGTGTTTGCCATTTTGGACGAGGAGCTGCTGCTCACGTCTGCGACGGACAAGCGGCTTGTGGAGAAGCTCCACGCGGCACACTCGGACTCGCCGCACTACGTCGTCTCGTACCTTGCGCCGTACGCGTTTGGCATCAAGCACTACGCCGGCGAGGTCACGTACGACGTCACCGGCTTCCTTGAGAAGAACAAGGACACGCTCGAGCAGGACCTTCTGACGCTCGTCTCGGGCTCGGACAACACCTTCCTCCGCGGCCTCTTTGACGTCGAGGCCTCCAAGCACCGCAAAAAGTCTGTCGGCTACCAGTTCCGGTCGCAGCTTGGTGAGCTGATGGAGGAGCTCAACGCGACGACGCCGCACTATGTGCGGTGCATCAAGCCCAACTCGGTCAAGCGCCCGGGCAAGTGGGAGGGCCACGACGTGCTGCTTCAGCTCCGCTACGCCGGTGTGTTTGAGGCTGTTGCCATCCGGCAGTCGGGCTACCCGTTCCGCTGGACGCACGCGCAGTTTATTCAGCGCTACGGGGTGTTCAACATGTGGCAAAAGGGCGCGTCGGCCAAGGCGACGTGCAAGGCGATCATGGCAGCGGTGGGCGTCGACCCCAAGCACATCCAGCTCGGGCGGACACGCGTGCTGTACCGCGCGCAGGCGCACCGGGTCCTGGAGATCGCGCGCTCGGTCATCCTGCAAAAGATGGCAATGCGGATCCAGCGGTGCTACCGCGGGCATCGGGCGCGCAAGATTGCGCGCGAGATGAGCAAGCTCCGCGACGTACTTGCCCGCGCCATTGCAGAGCGGTCGTTTGAGGCGCTCTCACAGGCGCTGGCCCAGGCCGACGCCTCGCCGTTCCAGCTGTACATTGCGACCGAGGCCCGTGGGGTGTTGGCCGAGTTGGCGGCCGAGGAGGAGGTCAAGGCGAGCATGGCGAGCTTTGTGGGCAAAGACCCGGACGTGCACTACGAGGCCATTGTGGGTGTGCTCAACAAGGCTACCGAGCTCGGCCTGGCTGTTCCGGTCATGGCCACGCTCCGCGAGTCGATTGCGTCGATTGCCGAGCGCAAGGAGGCGGCGATCAACCTCCGCGACGGCACGACCGAGTACGACCGGGTCAAGCTCGAGGCCGGCATCGAGGCGGCACTCCGGCTCCAACTACCGCTCAAGGCCGAGATTGCGCAGGCGCGTGCGGTGCTCCGCGACGTCGGAACGGAAGAGGTGCTGGTGAGCCAGCTGGGGCCGGCGCTGCTTTCGGCGACGGAGGACCTGCTTCCTCTGGAGGACGCGCTCTCGCGCGCGGTCGACTTTGGGCTCAAGACGCCGCAAGGCATGCAGCTCCGGGCGCAGCTCGAGGCGGCGCTCCTCATCCGGCGCGCGATCCGCGACCAGGCATGGGAGTCGCTCAACGAGGCGCTCAACCGGGCCGAGAGCTCAGGCCTGACCAACGCCGACGTGTCGGGAGCACGTGCGGGACTCGCCAAGCGGGCGCGGATGGGCGCGGTGGCGGCACGGCTCAAGCACGCATGCCGCGCCAAGTGCGTTGAACGGATGGAGGCTGCGCTCGACGAGGCCAACGCGCTCGACATGCGCAACTCGGTGTGGTCGTCGTGGTCGCGTGAAGTTGAGGCCGCATCTGCGCGCCTCGAGGCGCACAAGCGCATGCTCAAGGCTCTGCGAATCACGCTCACGCCCGGACACGAGGACGACATTGCCGAACTTGGCCGAGTTGTGCGCGAGGCGGAGGAGTACGAGTTTGTGGAGGCCAAGGAAAAGGCACTACTCGCCGAGGCGCGGGTGGTGCTTTCCATCCGGTCTGCCCTGGCAACGGACGACTTTGAGTCACTCGCAGAGGCTGTGGCGGACGGGCTTGACGCGCACAACACGTCGCATGAGGTGCAGCTTGCGGCGGAGGGTCTCGCGCTTCGCGAGAGGATGGCGGATGTTGCGCGCAGCCTGGAGGCTGCGGCCGACAAGGCGTGTGCCGACTCGATGGCGAGCGCGGTTGAAGAGGCGGTCCGGCTGGATATGAAGAGCTCGCGATGGTCGACGTGGGGCGGGCTGTTGGCGAGTGTGGAAGACAAGCTCGCGGAGCACGAGTCGCTGGTGCGTGCGCTGACGGCGGCGATGGCGCCAGGCACGTCGGCGTCGATTGCACCGCTGTCCGAGGCCATTGGCTCGTCACTGGCGTACGGGTTCAAGGTGGAGAAGGATGTGCGGCTGCTCCGGTCTGCGCAGGTCATCCTCACCATCCGGCAGGCGCTTGCGGGGACCGACTTCGCGACGCTGGCGAGCGCGGTGGAGAAGGCGCGGGCGCTGTTCTTCTCGCATTCGGAGGTGGAGGCTGTGGCGGAGGGCCTTGCGCTGCGGGAGCGGATGAGCGGCGTTGCGGCGCGGCTGGAAGAGGGCATGCGGAGCCACTCTGCCGAGCTGATGGCGTCGTCCGAGGCTGCTGCAGTGGCGCTGGACATGGATACTTCGTATTGGTCGACGTGGGGCGAGGTGCTCAAGGCCGGGCGTGCGCAGCTTGCGAAGCACAACTCGCTGGTGGAGGCGCTCAAGGGCGCGCTCGCGCCAGGGACGGAGAAGCTGACGGGCCCGCTTGCCGAGGCGCTCGACGCAGCCGACGAGTACGGCTTTGTGACCGAGGCCGATGTGGCGCTGGCGACCAAGGCGCGGCTGACGCTGGCCATGCGCCGGGCGGTTGCAGCGCGGCTGTGGGAGCCACTGCGGGAGGCTGTGAGCAAGGCGGCGTCGTCGGGCTTCCAGTCGGGCGAGATTGCGACGTACGGGTCCGGCCTTGCGGAGCGGACCAAAATGTCAGCGGTAGCCGACGAGCTAGAGGCTGCGTCGGCGGCGCACGACGCGTCGCGGCTGGCACGCGCGCTCAAGAAGGCGCGGTCGCTGGAGATGGACACCTCGTTCTGGTCGTCGTGGGCTGACGAGGTCGAGGCTGCGGCCAGCCTCCTCGACAAGCACCGCAAGCTTGTGACCAAGCTCAAGTCCGTGATTGCGGTGGGGACTCGCGAGCTCATTGACCCGCTCGCAAACGCTATTGCTGAAGCCGAGGCCTTTGGCTTCAAGGTCGAGGGCGACCTCGCGCTGGTGCGCAAGGCGCAGGTTACGCTCGACCTCCGGCGGGCGCTCTCGGTCAAGTCGTGGGAGGGCATCAAGGCGGCGGTGGAGGCCGCGGCACACCTTGGGTACCTCTCGTCCGAGGTGGATGCTGCGTCGCAGGGTCTCGCGCTGCGGAAAAAGATGGCGGAGACTGCAAAGGAGCTGAAGGAGGCGATGGCTGCGCACGACGCGGCGCTGCTCGACGAGGTCCTTTCCAAGGCGATGGAGCTCGACATGGGCGGCGAGTCGTTCTGGTCGTCGTGGGCCGAGGTTGTAATCGCTGGTGAGGCGCAGCTTCGGGAGCATACCAAGCTCAAGAACACGCTCAAGGCGTGCATGGGCCCGCGGACCCAGCTCCTCATCGAGCCGCTGGCCGAGGCGCTCAACGCGGTCATCGAGTTTGGGTTCTCAGTGGATGCCGACCTCGGGCTGCAGCGGCGGGCGCAGCTGACGCTCGATGCGCGCCGGGCCATGGCGGACCGCAACTTTGTGGCGCTGACCGGCGTGGTTGACCGCGCGTCTGCGTTTGGCGTTGTCTCACCCGAGCTTCAGGACTACGCGGCGGGCCTGCAGACGCGGAGCGCGATGGAGGGCGTGGCCAAGGCGGTGGCGCGGGCGGCCGATGCGCACGATGCGCGGGCGCTAGAGGCTGCGCTTGCGCATGCAGACGAGCTCGAGATGGAGACCTCGGTGTGGTCGACGTGGGAGGGTGAGCTGGGTGAGGCGCGCAAGCAGCTCGCCCACCACACCGGAATCATCTCGCGGATCTCGTCGTCGCTGCTCCCGGGCGCCGAAGACGACATCGAGGGCCTTTCGGGTGCGCTGGAGGCTGCGGCCGAGTTTGAAATGATGGTCGAGTCTGACGTGGAGCTTGTGGATCGGGCGACTGTTGTGCTTGCGCTCCGCAAGGCACTCGCGCACTACGATGTGTCTGCGGTGGAGCAGGCGATGGCGCGTGCGCGGTTCGTGGGCATCGACGAGGCCGAGTCCAACGAGCTGGCGAGTGCGATCAAGGCCGTGGCGCTTGTGGCGCAGCTGGAGGGCATGGCTGCGCAGATGCGCAAGTCGCTGGCGGTGCACGACGGGCCGGCGCTGGCGAGCCAGCTCGCAGAGGCGCGGCAGGCCGGGATGGACTCGTCGGGCTGGTCGCAGTGGGGCGAGCTTGTGGTCTCTGCCCAGGAAGTGGTGCGGCAGCACCGGCAGGTGACGATGGCGCTCCACGCGACGCTGGCGGCGGGTACGTCGCTTCAGATCGAGCCGCTTGCGCAGGCGCTGGAGAACGCACAAGCCTTTGGCCTGCACACAGCCGAGGACGTGGCGCTGATGCAGGGCGCCGAGGTGACGCTTGCGCTCCGGCGCGGGCTGGCAAGCAACGACTGGACAGCGATCCGCGGAGCGCTCGACCAGGCGACGGTTGTCGGCTTTGAGTCGGAGGAGACGACCGAAGCTGCAAGTGGGATGGAGGAGCGAAGCCAGCTTAGTAAGGTGGCGGACGCGCTCAACGACGCGATCAACCGCCGCGACGGAGCCAAGCTTCGGCGGCTGGTGGGTGAGGCCGAGGCGCTGGACATGGCGCGGTCGCGGTGGTCGACCTGGTCGGAGCTGTACACGTCTGCGCTCACGACGCTCACGACGTACGAGAGTCTGCGGTCGACGCTCGAGGCCGCGCTGGTGCCTTCGCAGGTCCCGCTGGGCAAGCTCGACGCGACGCTCGAGGCAGCGGCGGCTTTCCACTTTTACTCAGTCGACGACCTCGCGCTGGTCAAGGCTGCGCAGGTGCTGGCGGACTTGCGTCGGGCGATGCTCGAGGAGAACTTTGAGGCGCTGGCGCGGGTGCTGGGCGCAGCATCAGAGGCCTCGCTTGACACGGATGAGATCGATGAGGCTGGTCTCACGCTCGACCTGTACCGCAAGCAGAGCGCAAGCGCCGACGACCTGGCTGCAGCGGTGGAGGACGTGTTCCTCCTCGAGCCGACGGCGGTCGATGAGCTGCAGCAGGCAGTTGACGCCGGTGCAGCGCTCAACATGGCGACCTCGCGTGTGGCGTCGTTTGCAGCCAAGTTTGGCGAGGCGCGGGCGCTGCTCGACAAGCTGCGCAACATCGAGACGCTCGTCGAGCAGGGCGTGGCCATGTGCGACGAGTCGCTCCTGCGGCGCGGAGTGGCCGAGGCCGACGCGCTCGGATGGGTCGCCGAGTCGGTCGAGGTCGCGCGGCTGCTCGTTGACGACGTGGTTGCGGTGGCCGAAGAGACCGAAGACGCGCTGCGCGACGGCTCGCGCGGCGCGCTCCTCCGGGCCAAGGACAAGGCCGACGTCATCGGGTTCGCGAGGTGCGCCGATGCGCTCGAGGCAGCGCTGTCGTGAGCAAAAGCAACAGAGTTTAGACAGAAAACAGTGTGGCGAGTGCGAGCGAGCGAGGGAGTGGGCGAGCAAGCGAGCGGGGGAGAGCGAGCGAGCACGCGAGCGCACGCCGCAGGCTGCGGGGCCGGGAGCCGAAGCGTCAAGCGTCGAGCATCCGGGCGTCCGCTGCGAGCGCAGCCAGCTTACTTGCCGGTCTTCTTCTTCTTGGTACCCTGCTGCTGCTTGGCACGGACGTTCTTGTGGTTGGCCTTCTGCTTGTACGGCCCGTTGGCCACAAGGTTGAGGCTCTGCTTGACGACCTTCTTCTTGCCGCCGTTGGCAGCCTGGTTGTTGCCGTTGGCGGCCTCCTCTGCGGCCTTGGCGGCGGCCTTGCGGGCCCGCTTCTCGGCAAGGGCGGCAGCGTCGCGCTCCTTCTTGTTGAGGATGGCGTTGGGCGTGGAGACCGACGAGTCGCCCTTCTTCTTGTTGCCCTTGGCATGCTTTTCGCGGCGCTTGAGCGCGCGCTGGCGGTCCACTTCACGTTGGTTGCCACCTAAGGGGGGTTGAGAGGGGGGGGGGTGGAGAGGAGGTCGCGTGGGGCGAAGGGGGGGCGAGGGGGGGGGGGAAGGGGGGGGGGGGGGGGGGGGTAGGGGGAGGGAGGAAGG